AAACGATTTTTTACATTTATAAATAATAAAATTATATTTAATTTTTAATTATATTAAGTTAAATAATTTAATTGTTTAACGGTTATTAATTATATAAAATTATTTAATGTTTAAAAACAATAAAAAACTTTAATATATTTTACGTTTTATTTAATATTTGTGTAATATTTAAAAGTTTTTTATTTATATTATTTTATAATGGTAATATTACATTTTATTATAAACGTCATTTAAAATATATTTAAAATTATATACGTATACATTTAAAAGTTTTAATAAAATAATTTACTATATTTTTAAAAAGTCATATATAACTTTAAATTTAATAAATAAACATGTTATAAAAAATACATTTATTTTTTTAATATATATAATTATAATATAATAATTTATAAAAAAAAGTTAAAATCGATTTTTAACTATTCATTTATTTTTAAATGCATAATTTTTAATTTTACATATATGTAAATATTTAATACATCGAGTTAAAAAAACGTAAAATTATTAAAACATAACTTTATAATTAATATAATTATAATACACGAATTTTATTAACTTTTTTAAATAATTAATAATTATATTAACAATTATTACCGTAAATAAAAAAAATATATATCATAATATTTATAATAAATTATTGTATTTATTAATTACTTTTTTATTTTTTTCATGAATTTTTACGTGGTTATGTTATAATATCTGGTATTATGTCTGCCAAGACTGCGCAATCAATTCTCGCGGCAGGTTGCCCCACCATACCCCACCAACGCGCACAGGTTTTATAAATCAAAAATTCAAACCAATAATCACAGTAGCAGCAGAACCACGGATTTGTGGTCAGGGCTTGTGGTTTAGTGGTATAATACTCCCTTAGCATGTGCGTGATTTTAAGATCACTTGTACAACTTGGGAGTGGTCCGGGGTTCGATTCCCCGCGAGTCCAACATTGGAGGTTAAATTCCTCCTATGCCATATTTTTTATTTTTCTTTTTTATTTTCTTTTTATGGTCGCCCTGGTCAACTCTTGAAATACATATCCTCTAGTTTTACTTGAGAAGTGTAAATGAGCACCTAAATTTATAAGATTTTTCCTTGTCTTTGAAGATTGAAGTGTGATTTAATCCTCACCTCTCACGTATGTAGTGATGTTATACGTAATCTCTTTTCCACAATTTGGAGCACGATGAGTATTACTGTGTCTGATCTGCACAACTATCCTACGTAATATTTATATGCCGTTCGAGTCAAATTAGCATTCCGCTGTGGTACACACATGAGATTCTACTTATTGAAAATAATGACTATTGTATGACAACATGCGCTGGACTCGACGGTTTTGATACATGTTACTATATATGTAGTATAAAGCATGTTGTCTGCCGCATTACTATCCGAACATTGTCATCTCTTGCCACAGTAGGAATGGCGAGAACGTGGCAGAGACGGGTGACGACAATCTTGTTTGCATATTGATATGGGGGTTTTCTTACTTATGATTGCTTTTGACAAAGCGGGCAAGCACCTCTCGTAGGGCTGACGGTACGTGCAATCATTGCAATCGAATATAGGCTAATAGCAGTGCTTAGACAGGTATTTAATGATAGAGGTAGGTAGGCAAGGTTACCTAGAGTTCTAGGCGAGCTTGGTCCTAAGCGCACACAAGTGAACATTTCATTAGAGGATACATGTACTACATACTAAATAGTTCGCTGCGTGTTGACGACGAGTTGCGCTGCGATAGGATTATTAGTGAGTCTGCAATCTGATGAGGAATACTTCTTCTATTGCTTTTAGTGGATTATCTAAATAACTAATGAATAATAACAGCAACTTTACTACTTACACGTATTATGACGGAGGATAAAAATAGTGTCACTAAAAGCTAGAATCACTAGCAAGTACCTGCCGAGACTGGGCAAGTAAGCGACATTCGCTGTAATCGCGCGGTAGAAACGGTAGAGACATATCGGGCGTCTAAAGACAGAAATAGGAAGCCCAGAAGCCCAGAAGCCTTCGTTTCATGTTTCAGGTGTTCTAGTGGCCCTTGAATTGAATTAATAGCCAATCAAATATCATCTTTGTCTTGTTACCTAGCATTTTTAGATCACCGACATGGGAGGCCCCTGTTACCCCTCGATACCCCTGAAAATCCATTCGGCGACTAACAAAGATTTGATAGGTTGTCTTGAGCTTCCGCTTTCTCAACTACATGTTCTTAGAGGCTATCGAAATTCTTCCATAGTACGGCTTAAAGTTGTTCTGTCGATCGATGGCCTTTCTTTTTCTAGATGATGGATACAGAGTGTTATGGGATTGGTGCTAAGCTATATGTATTAAAATACATGGCTCTAATCCTCCCGAACGAACATGTCAACCAACCAATCCTTACAGCCATGTCGGCGTATGGTGCCGCTGTCTGCTGATGAATACCAGGGCATACCTACTTCCTATTACGAATGCCAATAAACGCGATACACTACGTACATGGTAATACAACATGTACCCTTTGTGTGGCTGTGGATCGCCTCTTGGCCACGATTCCTACGAGATCTGAATAAAAGCTTATTGTCTCCCCACTTACATATTGTGATGGTCTGTCACGGACAAGTTCCTTATTCCAAGTCACTGACCATCCTTTCTTTGGTGTCTCTTATCCAGTCAGCGATGATTGTTCTTTCTTTCCATTTTCCTTACTCATCGTTCCTTTCTTGACTTGTTGTAGATTTAGACAATCACTTAAGCGGCATATTATTCTATTCCATCTTGTACGCATACTTGCAGAAGTTTTGCTATTTTATTACTTTCGACCTACGAGACGACTTCGTCATCGCTTCCTTCATTCACTTCTTTTGCCTCTTAAGATTACTTCGTTCCCTTACACCTAGTGTTCCCCTTCACCATCGAGAATTGGAAGTACAAGGGATTACAAGACGACACCTGCAATTTCCCAATATTTATACAAATTGAGTTCGCTGCGCGATACACTTCTTTTCAGTAACCTACAAAACATGTTCATGAAATCGGTCAACACCGCCGCTGCGCTGGCAGCGGCATTCGTAGCACCGAAAGACCTCGATGTCAAAGACCCAAGTATTTAATTACAACATCTTGATATAAAACTGAACGGTACATACTAATTAGTTTTCTAGCATCTATACGCGGCGTGGCTAGTACACTTGCGCATGGGCTCATGTCATATTACTCCGGAAATGTGACAAACACCCCAGAGGTATGGGATACTACGACTCCCAATCCTGTATCCTTTGAGTTGAAGCTAACGTATTGCCCTTTAGAGCATTGCAGTTTTCCCTGAACCATATTGTAAGACTTGCTGACACACCACCTAGTTTATTACTCCTCGAATTACTGCTAACTGAATTAAATAGACTGGTGGGAAGCAGGTGCAGCCTGGGGAGCTATGCTGGATTATTCCCATTACACGGGTGATTCTAGCTACGATGAAGTCATTACACAAGCCTTACTGTCACAAGTCGGACCCAAATTTGACTTAATGGTGCCATTGCACTTTGGCTCCGAAGGAAACGATGACCAGGCGTTCTGGTCTTTCTCTATTCTTAACGCCGCTGAGCGGAATTTTCCCCAGCCTGACGACACTATCCCCCCTTGGCTCGATATCGCAGAAAACATCTGGAACACGATGGTTCTGAGGTGGAATACGACTAACTGCGGAGGCGGACTTCTTTGGCAAATTTTCGAGGATAACCCGAACGGCATGAAATACAAGAACAGCGTTTCCAACGGCGGTTTCTTCCAATTGTCGGCACGTCTTGCACGAGCAACCGGCAATGACACGTATTTCGAGTGGGCGAAGAAAGTGTGGGATTGGTCTGAGAAGATTGGTTTCGTAGACCAAGACTACAACGTCTACGACGGTGCCGGCGTCGAGGACGATTGCGCTAAGATCAACAAACTGTCATTCTCATATTCGCAGGGAATTTACATGTATGGAGCCTCTGTCCTTTACAACTACACGAACGGCGACAAGACGTGGGGAGCTCGCACGACCGGACTCCTGAAAGCGGCAGACTCTTACTTCAGCCCCTACCCGAACGCGACTAACATCATGTTCGAGCACGCCTGCGAACCGTACGAGCTCTGCAATAACGATATGAAATCATTCAAGGGCTACCTTTCGCGCTTCATGTGGGCGACGTCACGAATGATGCCTTCTACAGCAAACCAAGTTCAGTCTTTGTTAAATACTTCCGCCGTTGCGGCTGGTAAAGCTTGCTCTGGAGGACAGGATGGTACTGTATGCGGGCAGAAGTGGTATACTGGTGGTTTCGACGGGGTGACAGGACTGGGCCAGCAGTTGACGGCATTGGAGACGGTTCAGGGACTTCTCTCCCAGCAGGCGCTTCCTCCGTTCAAGGCCGGTGAGATTAAGCACGTCAAGGGCACAGGCAAGGTGCCACCGAAGCCGGCTGGCAAGTAATTGACCCTTGCGCACTTGCTTCGCTACCCTGTCAAATCTTGACCGGAAACATATTTCTGGGCCTTGCGTGATGGGAGGATTTTAGATATACTAGATGGGGCATAAGCATAGTACCTAGTTGGCGTTTGGGTTTCCCTACTTTCGGCTACTTGATTGAGAGGCGGTTTGATATCAATTTAGAGATGCACAAACACTTGAGGAAAAGCTTTGCTTCGTTCTGCAAGAAATTCCATATTCAAGACTAGATGTATTATTATTGGATAATTCCAACATGGAGCCTCGTCGATTTGTCTTTTTAATCTTAAATAAATATTAATTTTTATGAACTCCTGTAGATTCAGACTTGTCATAAATGAAATATGCCTATCGTCTACTTCGGTACGTGACTAATAAAGCTAAGATACATAGACTAGTATAATATGCATTCAAGGGGGTACACAAGACCCACTGAAATGTGGAGGCGGTAACCCTCCGATCGGCAGCCCGATTCAATGTTGCAATATGACGGACAATACGAAGTACCTCTAAACATACTAAAGATGCTAGTAAAATAAAATAAAATCAAAATCCTTAAGACAAGATTGGACCCATGCGGTGACTCAACTACCATCTATAAAATAAGCTAAGAAATAAGAAACTAATAGGTCGAGGTTGGCCTATTCGTACAAGTGACTTCTTGTATCTATCAAAAAAGCCAAGTGTTTTTAATAGTCTGGACTATCATGTCTCCTTTCAATCTTCAGACCTGTGCAAGGTCCAATATTCTAGCGTTGGAACCGTACCGCTGTGCGCGAGAGTAAGACTCAACCAAAACTTATCTATTGATAGACAGACGGATACTCACACGCGTTATAGTGACTACAAGGACGACGGTACAAACATTCTTCTTGATGCCAACGAGAATGCTCTTGGACCGCCCTTGACAGCGGATGCTGTATCAGCTGTGTCGAAGGGCTCCGGGGTCGAGATAGACTTCCTGGGACTGCACAGGTATCCAGATCCGCACCAACGGGATCTAAAGCAGCTGCTCTGCAATCTGCGGAACACTCACCACCACACAGACAAAAACATAACACCGGACAACCTGTTTGTCGGCGTTGGCAGCGATGAGGCTATCGATGCGCTGCTGAGATGTTTCTGTGTTCCCGGTCGGGACCGCATTTTGGTATGTCCTCCAACGTACGGCATGTACTCCGTGTCAGCACAGGTCAACGATGTTGGACTGGTCAAAGTTCCTCTTTTGCCGGCTCCGACGTTTGGAGTTGACGTAGCTAAAGTACTAGAGGCGCTCTCGACGGAGCAGAATATCAAGCTTATCTACTTGTGCTCACCGGGAAACCCGACCGGCTCGCTACTGGCTAAGGAGGATATAAAGCAGATTTTAGAGCACCCAACGTGGAACGGCATAGTAGTCGTTGATGAGGCATACGTCGACTTTGCGCCCGAAGGTAGTTCGTTGGCGGAATGGGTTGCCGAATGGCCTAACCTAGTCGTCATGCAGACGCTCTCAAAGGCGTTCGGTATGGCGGGCATCCGGCTTGGAGCAGCGTTCGCAGCGCCGCCGGTCGCGCAACTCCTCAACAACATCAAAGCGCCATACAATGTCTCCAGCCCAACTAGCGCATTGGCATCATACGTAGCTTCAGACGAAGGCTTAGCGACGATGCGCGCAAACAGGGAGAAGATTGTGCAACAAAGGGAGAGGTTACTCAAGGAACTACCTAAAATTAAGGGTGTAGGACGGCTGCGCGGCGGAACGAGCAGTAACTTCCTGCTTTTCGAGATGCTGAACGCGGAGGGCAGGCCGGATAATGTGACCGCGCTGGCGGTGTACGAGACGCTGGCGGAGAATAAAGGCGTCGTGGTGCGGTTTAGGGGTAAGGAGCACGGGTGTCTAGGATGCTTACGAGTCACGGTCGGGACGGAAGACGAGGTCACTAGATTCCTTAAAGCTATAGAACAGGCGCTTTCTGAGATCAACGGGCACAAGACGGAGGTACCGGCAGACGAGGCGAAAAGAGAGGCTGAGGCGAATGGTGTTGTGGGATAGACGATTGAGTGGTTAAGATAAAAAAAGGTCTAGATAGATGAAAAGGGGTTTATACATTTAGGAGAGGAGGTTTGTTGCATGGTTGAGTTTTACGTACTTCATGAAAACTAGACAAATTTCTATAGCTATGATAAAATAGAGAAGTCATATATCTTAAACATTTCTATTTACTACATCCTACATTGAAAAGGTACGCTGGACGAAGTGACTGAAGTTATTGCTTAATTGCATATATGCCCGTCGGATTGTGGCCAGGACCCAATCAAACGGGCACTAACTTTTGTAAATTGCATATACCGACGTAATTCTTGCTTGTGAATTCCATGGGCTTCCTCTCACTCGAAAGTGAAAATCTACAAAGTTTGTGTAATTTGCAGCTCTATTGCGCTATCATTCTATCCGAAAATATTTCTTAGGTGAAAATAAAAAGAACTTCGCATAAGAAATTGGAAGTGAGGAGGTAGTGATTCAAAATGCACATTGAAGAAATCTCAGATGAGGTTGCAGAGCGCCTCAAACTCTCTCAGGCTGAGGCGAACAAATCCCAGTCGCAAGAGCAAGAAACTACGCAATCATTATCGCAAGATGCCTCAGCACCCATATCAGCCGCTGTATTTCCAGAGCCGGAGCCTGTCAACAAGAAGTCCATAGACGAGATCGTCGCGGACCTGAAGAAGACACCCTTTTTCATGACGGAGCTGGAAGAGAACGACCAAACCGAGGCATTCAAGGCGCTTGCATATGAGGGTACGCCATTAGAGAATGGTTCCGAGTTCAAGGAGCGCGGCAACGAGTGCTTCCGCGAGAAGCGCTGGGCCGACGCCAAAGAATTCTACACCAAAGGCGTGCTGATACTCGCGGCTGAGGAGCGCAAGCGTGCTAGGGGCGAGCACGACCCCGAGGTAAAGGAGGAGGAGGTCGAGGAGCAAAAACGAGTACTGGAGTCTTTATACATCAATCGCGCAGCTTGCCATCTAGAGCTGAAAAACTACCGCAGCTGCTGGCTAGATTGCGCCGCGGCCCTACGCCTTAACGACAAGAATCTCAAGGCGTACTATCGGTCGGCCAGGGCGTTCCTAGCCGTCGGCCGCATCGCTGAAGCAGACGACGCATGTGCACGAGGTCTAGCCCTCGACGAGAACAACGGCCCCCTAAAAGCAGTCGCGCGCGACATCGTCAAGAAGCACGAGGAAGTAACCGCGAAGCAGAAAAAAGAAACCGAAAGACTAGCAAAAGAGAAGCGCCGAGAAATCCTAGTCAAAGTAGCCCTCAAGAGCCGCGAAATCAAAACCCGGACTACGGCGCAGCCGCCCGAGATGGAGGACGCGGGCATTAGACTGGTGCCGGACCCGGATGATCCGCATAGCGCTCTTAGCTTCCCGACCGTGCTGCTGTACCCCGCGCACCTCGAGTCCGACTTCATCAAGGCGTTCGAGGAGACGGCGACGCTGGCGGATCATCTGAGCTATGTGTTTCCGCTGCCGTGGGACGTGGCGCACGAGTATACGGCCGATGGCGTCGAGTGCTACATGGAGACGGTGGCGGGGGGGCTGATCAAAGTCGGGAAGAAAGTCCCGCTGCTGAAGATGCTGGCGGGGGGCAAGGTCGAGGTCGTGGATGAGGTGGTGAGGGTTTTTGTGCTGCCGAAGGGTAGGGCGGCGGGGTGGGTGGTGGAGTTTAAGGAGAAGAGGAGGGCGGAGAGGGGTGGGGGGTAGGGGGTAGGGGGTTTGTGGTAGGGATTTATTGGGATGGGTAGGTAGGTAGGTAGGTAGGTAGGTGGATAGATGGATGGAAGGAGAATATAATAAAAGGGGATTGCTGGTCAAGAGTCTACCTAGTTCAAGTGTTGTTCGAGATTGTCTGTATGTCTACTAACATCCCCGTATGGGAATAGTACCGTTAGAACTCGTTCAAAGTATTATCTTGTCTTTACTATTTCGCATTTAACTAAACGCACAACAGGATAATTCATAGATAGATACCTAGATAGGTAAAACGATCGCTTGTCTAGATACATTGTAGAACGCCGCCGCCGCCGCCGCCGCCGTGCCCCATTTTGACCGCAAATACTCCAGGTCCTTTCCCCGTTTTAGCCCCATCCGATTTGATGCGTCTATCCCAGAAAATGAAGTTGTCTAGCCGCCTCTCCTCTAACTATCTACGCCAACCTTCCTCCCTCTCTCCTCGTCTGGGCTCGTCTTCAAAGTAGGTCAAAGTAGGTAGCTAGTTGTCTTGCTTTCCTAGCTACATCGAATTCGACCTCACCCTCTTAACCCGCGGAAACGACCCGTCGCGCGGCGAACTCGTTCCCGACGTCGTCGTGCTGCCGCCGCCCTTAATGGCTCGCGAGTCCCCGACGCTAAGGTTCATCAGGAGCAGCGCTGCGTTCTTGTCCGCGCCTCCTACCACCGGGGAGTCACTTGGCGATGCCTGTTTTATCTTGCTGCTGTTGTTGCGGGGCTTCTCCGCCGCAGTCTTGTTGTTCGCCGTAGATACCTTCGTAAAGGCATGGCTGTGGGTCTCGTACTCGGCCTCCACGTGCTCGGCTGATCGCTTGCTGCCGCCCCGCCATGGCTGCGGATGGGGATGCGGATGCGAGGTCCGGGGCGATAGGGGGTACGGTTGTATATGCGTTTCTGTGGTGAAGCGCGGGACGGCGCTGAGCCAGGGGCTTGGGCCGGGTGGGGCGTAGTGCCGTGGTGATACTACGTTGGCGGGCGTCCAGCCGCTGCTCGTGGGTCGGAGGGATGGGGCTGTTACTACTGATGACGGCGGTGGGGGCTGGATGGGGGAGTATAGGTAGCGATTGCGGTGGCTGGGCTCCGAGGCTATAGGAGATGTGTCACTGTCCTGGTCCGTAGTATACGGGCTACTGGGGGTTGCGAGAGCCTTCTGGATTGGACGGCGGCGATAGTATGAGTGGTTATGGCTGTGTCTGACTTCGTCGTAAGGATTCCGGAATAAAGGCCGTCGGTCCTGGGCCGGGCTGGCTAGGCCGTTATTGCTAGAAGAGGCGGCCGAGTTGCTGCATAATCTGCGGAAATGCTCGGCTTCTCTGGTAGATTGGGCTACGATAGCTGGGTCGATGATCATGCGGCTGTACTCTGGCGCTTCCGAAGGCGTGCAGCGCGAGGGGAAGTCGGGGCCGAAAATGGGTATCAGGGCCCCTGCGATATTGTGGCAGAAGGTTGCGCATACGGCTTTGGCGCAGTAGTATGGCATCCAGTAACCTTTTGAGCGGAAGAAATGTAAGTTTACTGCTTGGAAAAAGGGACTTTATGTATAGCACGTACCTTGGGCCATGATAGAGCCCCCCGTGATGCTGTGCGTTATGTCCTTGAGCCCGGGGTTTAAGTTCAACATCTTGGCCGGTGTCGTCTACGATTTTGGTTAGTTCTTAGTTTTTAAAACTGAGTTGCTTATCCGTTGAAGCCGGGGGCGAGCTAACCTTGGGGTATTTACAGCACTTAAAGAAAGGGGTCATGCGGACGAGGCCGACATTGTAATCCCACATGACGGTATATTCGGTCTCGTCCCCGGGCACTTTGAAAGTATACTGGAAAACTACGTTCGGGTCAACAAATCGATTCCCGCATCTCGGGGGATTATGCTTTTTTTTTGTGTGTGTGTGTGTGTGTGTGTTTTATTCTGGTTCTTTACCTTCGAAGCTTTCTCGGCCTGTCTTCTGGAAGAAATCCTTCTTCCCGCTGTTGTAGGGAATGTGCCGGGAATGGTCCTGTATGTTCCCGAAGAAACGGACGCGAAATTGCCGGACTTGGCGGAGCGAAGCCTCGTCTAGATTCTCGAATGGAGGGAAATTGACAGCTCCCTTGGGTCTACTCGTAGGCAAAAGAGCCGCAGCCTTCGGTATCTTCTGCTTGGCCATTCTGTGATCATCTAAAAGACCCGGCTCGTCTGGGAGAGAAGCCGTTGGGGATAACGACGAGGCTGGGCTTGGAGGAAACCTGTTGATTGGTGGCCCTGGAGGGGCGGGATTAAGAAGAGACGCCAGTGACAGCATGGCGGTGAGAAGCAGTGGGGACAAGATGTCTCGAATACGGATAGAGTACTGATGCAAGCAAAGTTGTGGATGACTATCTACGAAAAGGTCCGTGGGAAGAACTAGGTAAGGAGACTCAAGACAGACAGTGCTTGCAGCGGCAAGTCAGAAAGGAGAGAGGAAACCAAGTCCTTTTGAACTTGGCAAACAGACGAACTATTGAAGCACGCCCTCGCGAGACGGCGAGCCCATGCTGGTACAAGGGGACCGAGATTGCTTCCTTTCTTGACTGTGCCCAGTCATGCAGCTCTCTGCAGAGCACTTGAGCGGTGTCCGGTGCTGCCTTGGTGATCGTGGTATTCGGTGCGGCGTTCTTTGTTGAAGATGTCTTGGAATCGACCTGTGAGAGCAGAGGAGCTCGTTTGTGTATACCCACCGCTCCTTAGAAGATCGAGGTTAAAGCCACCAAAGTGAGAGATGACGAAGAGGTAGGCCACGCGAGGGAGGGGACGAGCGAAGCAGTTCTAAGTTACCTTGTGCGGTATCAACGAGGGCGGATCGGGGATGATTAAAATGGGGACGACAGGAAACCGTTAGCCGGCAGGGCAGCGTGGTAGGTGATTAGTTTCGGAGGCAGAGAACTCAGATTACTAGGTAGAGATGCGTTCGATTCCGGAGCCTTGCCGACGAAGATAGTCCCAGGCGGTACCAGATGTATCACGTCGATCCGTGGATTATAGGACAGCATCGAGGTAAGGTAGGTTTCAATACATCTCACCAGTTCTGACTCCGGCCCAAAAGGGGCGACCACAGGCGACCGCATGACGCATCGGACCTGTAGCTAGAGACAGCAAATGAGTTTGACACAGCAAATACTTCAGCACAGAGACCCCCAAACAAGGACCAGGCTTGTTTGGGAATCCATATGGGAGTTTTGACAGAAAGCAACCTCACGGGAAGCTGCAGATAGTGCCGTCCAAGTTACTAGGGCTAGGCGGTTTCTCAAGAGGGTAGAACAAAGAAAGGCCAGTGATAAGCATATTGAGCCCTAGACAACGATTGCTAGACTCGACACACGTGTACCCAGTGCCTCCCATCCTGTAGGAGGGTAGGCCTAGGATGTCACGGCGGAACATGTCACCCACGCCATTCTTTGCT